GTTTCATCAACATGCTGTGTTACTTGGGAAGTAACTTGGGATTTGGGAAGTAACACAGTATTTCCTAAACGTTGCTGGAATATCTTGTGTTACTTGGGTAAAGAAATACGTCTGATCAAGTCAAGGGGGGAGGGGGGGGGGGACACGTGGTAATAGAGACAATTTGGGACCGACTCTAGGGCAGTGGCTCCGAGATCCATTCAGACAGCTTACGCCCGTCTTGGACGATGCAATTGTAAAGGTGAGATCTGTCCTCGCAGGTGTCTCCACAGAGGCGGCACTTATCACTTTTGCATTTGTGCACCGAAGAAGGACCTCACGCTTTGTGTCTGTTGGAAAATGGCTTTGCTTTGCAAAGAGCGTCTTTGTGCAGTTGAGGAAGGCATACCAAATGCTGCGCAATGAAAATACTGAAATTAGGATTCTTATAAATACTGTTACAATCATTACTTTTACATTAAGTATACTTGTTACTGTTATATAAATGTTACTGTTACATTGTTGAAATACTGTTACATTAAGTAGACAGCAGAAATTCACCAGTTTAAAGTGCAAAATTCTCCGATCCGATTAATCTTTAATGTGACCCATCTGTGTCCTGTGTAAGGGGTCTGGGAATTCAGATTTGTTTGACCAATAAGAAAGTTGCTAATTGAAAAAATGTTAGAAATTCACATTTATATTCAAGGTTCACGGAAAATTAAAAAAAAATTACAAAAAAAATCAGAATTTTCATGATTATGTGGAGAGATGGGTTCAAGTTCATTAAAGTATGTATGAGACTACCTGAGGTACGCAAGTGCAGGGAAGTATGCTGTTGAGTATGTGCAGTTCTTAGGATATCGAAAATTGCTCAATTCTCGTGTCATGCATCGATTTTGTACTGCATTCACTAAATACACAAGGACTCTTCAAACATATCTCTAGTAGTAGGCCATTGACAAGTTAGCTGCAAGTTAGTAGAATGATGTGAACAGATGACACATCCACCTGCTGTCAAGGTGGATGTGTCCTTTTCACTCCAACCTTTTCACTCGGGCAGTAATGACACGCACGAGTAGAAACATTCCAAACCTTAAAAAGCGAACTGTTTTCAAGCAGTAAACACACCTTTAAAAGATTTGAAATGAAATACGAACTACTGGCCTAGAAAGCATTTCACATTCTTTTTAGACCCAAAAGTGAAAAGTTTCTTAGGTATATTCGAAATAGTGTTTTCAGCACTTGAACTTCAAATTCAGAACACCACTGAGCTTTCTCACGGGCACAGGCGCTTCACGCGTTTCAGGGCACGTTTCAGGTATCGACTGGGAGGTGCGGCTCCGTGGGCTGACAGTAGAGGAGACGTTCTAGACGTTATTGCAGGGTTTTATGGAGGAATGCATCCCCAAGAAATCCATAAAATCGGGCAGGCAACCGGTCTGGTTTACGGGTAAAATCAAAGCTCTCATCAGGGATAAAAAGCGGAAATGGGATGCGTACAAGCGGACGGGAGATAGCACGGACAGTAGGCATATCACTTTAACTGTTTTACGCAGGCGTACAATGTGCTGTCATAAGTATTCACGACTTTAAGGTGGACCAATTTGTATTCCTCGAGGGAGCGAATAAAAACGGCGCCTAGGTTAAACCTGTTACATTTGGATAGATAAGGGCCATTGGGCTGTGGTGTACTAATGGTAGCTGCTACTGTTGGGCCTCGGTGTAGTCGTGGGCTTAATTAAAATTTGCATAGAAGAGAAAAATAAATAAATGAAGCTTCCTTTAGTCTGACAGTAACTGACGGTAACTCTGAAAAGTCTCCCAGTCTGGTGGCAAATTTAGTTGTTAGTGTTAATGTTAAAGTGTTAATGCATTGAGCCATTGCATATTACTCCTCTAAAGCTTCTAGCATTATCTGCTTATTGAACTTTCATTATCACTTGTTGAGGGGCAATTTTTAGGACACAGGAATTCTATTGCATATTTCACAGAAAGGTTCATTATGTCACCATCCCCCTTCCCAACCTTTAGTCTGCAATGTCACCACTGATGGAATATATTAAATACCTCTCCCTTCATTTAATCAACACAAAGGATCTCAGGCCGTGTGGCTCTTGACACGATGCAATTTGAATGCCACTCTTCCTCATATGAATGAGGGTGGAAGGCATATTGATTGTTTTTGTTGATGAAATTGATGAAGCAAGAGGTTATCTCAATATATAACCCTTCAGTGGTGACATTGCAGACTGCAGGATGGATGTTGTTGCACAACAAATCATACCCAGTTTACTTGAGTATAGGGAATGAATAAGAAAAGGAATTGGTCCATCATAAATGAGATTATTGTTGTATTTTTATGCCTAGTTGTAGATTGCACCTACCAGGCTTGAGCTTGAGCCATTCAGTCCCATAATGCATGTAAATGTTCTTATAGTCATTCACTTTTCATCCTAAGCTTGGGAACCAAGCCAGATTAGGAGATAGATTATGGTACCCAATTTGCTCAGGTTGCCTATTCACACCAACAGTGGCATGAAATGAAGTTTCCTGTGCAAATGTTTCAGTGGGGATACCATTTGATTCTCCTTAAGATAAACTTTCATTCAGGAAGTTGTTAGCAAAGAAGAAAGAGAACCTTTTAGTGACAAGAGCCATTTTAGGCAACCATGGATTTCTTAGGAAGCATGAGGCAAATGGTGAGAACTTTTTAAATGCCTCTCTTGCATTTAAGTNCATTTAAGTGCTCTCCATTGCCCCCCCCCCCCCCCTTTATGGACATTGTGCTATAGCTTTTTCTAGTTTCAAACATTGAACTATCATGGGGAAGATAAAGATGATACTTGGAGAAGTAATGAATGATCAGAAGAAACATTTGTAATTTTTTGAGATAGTAAGGCTTTTGTAAGATGGGAGGCTGTGGCTTTGCTGGTTCTCATAAAGAGCCTCTTCCCTTCTCCTTAATAGGATTTCTAATATTGATACAGTTTATCTCTGTCTTAGGACCAATAAAGATTAGACTCAAACTGTTTTCTTTCTGGCCTTATGTTGACACTGAGTTGGATGTAAAGAGCACATGATTGTTGAATAAAAACAGAACAGATATGTATCTTTAATTTCTCTTATCACTGAAAGCAAACATGTCCTGATCCTGTGTACATCACTTCAGCTGTATTTGCAAGCTTGTGAGTTGAAAATGTGGTCATACCACCCTCATGTTTCCTTGAACAACTGCTTGCGTGACAATATTGTTATTAGCCCAGCAGAACAGGAATTTCCCTTGGAGCATTTAGGACTATGGAGGTAAGCCCAAGGTTTTTTTTTTAAAATGAGTATATACAGGGTGATTCAAAATAATGTATAAACATTTTGAAACAATGTATTTTTAATGCTTATTGCACTGAATAAACAAAACTTTCCTATGTACACAAGTGAACATGTGAAAACAACATATAATAGTTCAATAGCAAATGTTCTAAATTTTATTTTTGGAGAATGCTTATGCATGGTTATTACATTTTCCACATTTTCTCAACTTCACACTGTCCATTTTCTTCTGCACTGGATTTTAATAACATTTTGGACAGTTCCATGTTCTTTGAACTTATCATGTATATGACTAATTGTTCCATATGTGGGAGCTGTTGTTACTCTCGCATCCAGACACACTACACCTCCTTTACATTCTCATACTTGCAGTACCACTTTAAAATGTTCTTCCTTTGTTTGAAATTCAACTGTGCATCTGCCATGTTGAGGATAATTTATGTAACTTTTAATAATACTAATAAAAAAGTAATATTGTATGCCAACAAATGTGCCTTCATTAGTTGTTATGACATTTACCATTAATGGTACAGTGGTTTATACATTATCAAAGGATTTATACATTATTTTGAATCACCTATATAAATTTCTGAATTTGTGATGGGCTCTCTGTAGGGATGCAAAGACACCATATGACCTGTGCATTTAACCTACATTGTTGATGTAATTGCATTCATACTGGTTCATGATATGACATGAGACCTATCTCAATTTGGACTCTGATTTCTTGCCTTACTTGAGTCAGAAAGAAAAAGAAATATGGGTAGTGTTATGTTCAGACCTGTCATGACATAAATTCTCAATGAAATGGTTTTCTCTTTGCATTGTGTATTTTTCTGCCATTTTTATGCCTTTTGCAGTCATTGATGGGGATATTTTACTCTATGGGGTGAAAGGCCATCCATGTACATGACATGAAAAGAATTTCAATTACCTTTTTAATTATCATAACTTTGATGTGCTAGGGAAATGCAGGCACATAGGCCTATATAAAGTACATTAGATTGCTACAAATGCATAGTTTTGGCTGCAGTTAGACCCAAACCCATGGCTTCTTCAGTCTTAAGCCTTTCATCCTTCTGACAAAGCTTGGGAAGGAATGTATGAGTGAGCTTAGGCCTAGTGTACCTGAATAACCCCTCCCTGCTCCTAGTTATCTGTAGCCCCTATTTGTGCCCTAGCATGAAGTGCTAAATATTCTGAGTTTGTATGCAATAACAATGTTAGGGATCTGTCTGTCATAATTGATCGATAGTTTTCCTTCCAGATTGATTCATAGTTGCCTAAGCATACGTCTGGGTTATCAAGCAGTATCCTTGACACCTGTGGATAGAATTAGGTATAGACCTGTTTCGTTTGTTCAGGATCCAAGAAGGAATTGCACAATGACAGACCTAAAGCCTATCTTTAGGTGAGTTGCTGTTTCAATATGTTCCACCATTAAATAATTTTTCTTTTAATATGCTGGGATCACTGGAATTTTGCCTGTTGTTTTGACTTACCTGCAGCTACATTGACTCTCATCAAAAGGAATACATCAAGAATTTGGATGAAGCTGTACAGATTAAGTCAGTTTCTGCCTGGCCTGAAGTCAGGGGAGAAATAGATAAGATGATGCAGTGGGCTGTTGATCGTCTCAAGGTGTTTGGTGCAGACATTGAGCTCTGTGATATTGGGAAGCAGGTGAGATTGGTCATAACTGTCACTTTTCTGGTGAATTGAAAAAGTAAGCAGATACTATACTCTTTCTGTGGCTTCTTGAGAGGGTGTTGAACACAGGGCAATTTATATGGGTGGCATGACTGAGCATGGGCAAGGAAATTAGAAGGGGGCCATGTTAACAAAGGAAAATAAATATATTTAAAAAATTCCCATTTGAAGTAGCATTATGTGTATTGGAACTGATGCATCTATAAACATGAAATACTTGAGGCAGTATGGTGCCTGAAATGGAACAATGAATAGAAAGATCAGAAAAGTTGGCCTGGTGCACTGTTTGTCAATTAATCTGCCAATATTCACTTCTGTGTCATATCTATAAAATCAGATCTTTTTTCTGGTCATGTGCTATATAGTCACTGAAGTCCATTAACATTTATAAGCTATATGATCACTCAATAGCGCACAGAGATTTGATTTCCCTCCATTTGAAGAACAGAAAATACCAAGCAAGATATTCCTATTCATTTTCAGAATCTAAAATGATTAAAGTAGTAATACTAATAGGTTGGGATACTAGGTGAACCAGAACTGAGCTTATTGAAGGGAGTTTATTGTGGCCAACTGCTAGGTCCTTACTAACAATTATCGCCATCATCCCAGGGCATCAGTTCACCCCATGTATCTCTCTTGTTACCTGGGAAGTACATGTTTATTGAGTCTTGAACATCTCCATGACCAGCGTTTGCCCTGGGTGTGGCCTGCAGAGTGATTCACTCCAAAGATCCTCTGCAAAAACCCAAATTTCAATCAGTAACAGAGATTTCTTATTGAAAGCAGCAGAGTGGGTAGCATAAGCATTGTCCTAAAGCATTTTCTTGACTGGCAGCACACTTCAGGATCATCAGGGCCCTGTCACTATCCTTTCTCAGCTTAGTAATAAAGTAAACCCAGCATGCTCATCTTTCATGGGGTCATGTGTAAGGGAATTCATTTTCTTTTTTCATGGAAAATGGATAATGAACATTTTTCATAATTATAGCAATTAAGGGGAAAGGGGGTATTTGGCCACCTCTTCTTCCCAAATGGAATTATCATGTGCTCAGTTGACCAGTGAGATCATTTTTCTCTCTGTCCCTACCACACAAAGCTACCCCATGACATGAACCAAGCAATTTATCTGGGTTTTTAGGTGATTTAACCCTTGTTATAGAAAGGATAAATTTATTTGAAGCACTGAAGTCACAAAATATCATGCTCCTGAAGGCGAAAAATGAAAAACCATGAAGGTCTTTGCCTCTCGTTCCCTCTCAGCATGTGGGACTGAAATCTGCTAGCCTCAAATCAGAGACTGAGGGATTCATAGCAGTGAGTCACAGTGTTCAAACCAGTACTACTGAGTACTAATGAATCAATCCTTTTGGGGGAAGACCTTGATTCTACCTGTTAGGTGTGTGGTAACTTGACACACTACCCCCTTTTTTTCCTGTCAACTTTGTGGCACTTATCTTTGTTAGTCATCAGGAGAATGCTGCATATGTAAGATTCTGAGTAGTGGTAGCATTACTGCAATGTCACTGATGGAACAGGTAATCATTGATAAATTAACAGCATTAAAAATATTTTTTCATGTCGCTTGGAAGTTCATATGATAGCATGGAGAAAACCTGATTTAACACAAGTAATTTGTGTGTAGGGGGATGGGGGGGAGGAAAGATCCTTGGCCAGAGCCAATGACAAGGATGTGCTGACATAGTCCTTGGTGTGGGCAAGGACCATGAAAGTCTTTGAGGAAACCCTCTATCCTATCCATTCTATTCTCCTCTGAAGACAGCCCTTCATGAGGTACATTGGCACACTTAAGATACATTCTTAAGACAAGCTGTATCATCCACCATATGTCATTTGTCCTGCTTCCCCTTTCTCTTATGATTTTGCTTTTTCTTTTGGGTCAGGTGGAACTGGGTCTCTTGGTCTTGGCCTTAGTAAAGAAGGAATCATGATGGATGTCCATTAGGGACATAACAAACTACTCCATGCTCTGTCTCTAGTGCCATTGCTGTTGGTGTGCACATCATGGATTTGAGGTACATCCATAGAGAAGTACTAATGTCAGACAAAATGCAATGTTACACAGATGTAGGTTCATTATATTGCACAATTACCATGTTTGAGCTTAATGATGATCAGAAGACCTTCCCTCCAAAAGTGGCCTCTACATGTGCACCATGTGCTGGTTATCCATAGGAGTGACACTGATCCAGTGAGAGAAGTTGTAAAATAACAGCAATGTACCTCCAATTTTACCACCTTATGCTTTGCTACACTCTTCCACATGCCTTTAGGATTGACAAACATTCTGTCATCCCAAGACTCCACTCCCACAGGAATTCATGGAAGAGCATTCCAAGGCAAAGATCTCTTGGAATTATACTCAATCTACACTCAGGCTTCTTGCTGCTTTGATTTCTCTTAGTGATGTGATTGCATGAGCTTTGTGATCTAATCCATCCAGCAGGCACATCTCTTGCAAAGAGAGAAGTAAAAATGCCATGAGCTCTTGTTCAAGTTTAAAGGCTATTATCCATGTCACAGTGTAGACTTGGTGGTTGTGATTGTCTTGGCAGCATGAATAATACACTGAATCCAGAGCTGAAGAAGATCACAGCCTGGTGGTCAAAGGCTTCTGTATTGCAGCCTGCAGCATGGAAAAACTTGTTTGGCTTGGCTCCATTCAGCTCCTCTTCATCCTAGACCTGGATCTGTAAGCTGACCCAGCTATTGCCATGTTATGGGTCATGGCCAATTTTTTTTGTGTCCCAGCTAGCCTAGTATGAGGAGCAACTCTAAAGTCCTGCAGGGAGGATGTGGTCATTCTGAAATGTCATGATAAGGATGTCAGTGAGAGGCGAGGGAATGTCCTGGGTTCGGTAGTGTAATGGAAGCACACCTGACCGGTAATCAGGAAGCTCGGGTTCAATTCCCAGCCGTCCCCTGGCTTTCTTTCGTCCTCTCCTCCATCCAATCTTCCCTCCCAGCCATTCTCATAACAGAAAGAGGATAGCTCACATATTCCACCATTGGCATTGTTCTGATGAGTGATGTCATGAAGAATAAAAAGGTGATCACTAATAGCAAGAATAATAATTATTATTGCTATTAGTGATCATTTTGTATTTACAGATACGTGAAATAAAGCCAGAAGCTTGGGCCATTAAGCTTCTTGCATTGAACTAGAAGGCTTTGATTGGCCCTGTGTTATGTTTTTAATAGATAGATTATTGAGAATATTAAAAGTCCATGCCTCAACTCCTATGAATAACCAATCAGTTATTGGTTAAGGAGCATGAGGATGTAAGTTTTTGGACTGTTGCTCTTCATTAGATGAAAAAAGAACTGAAGAAAGGTACCATTTATTCAGGAAATATTTTTTTTCCCTCTAAATGGTCCTCCTGTACTACTAGCTTCCTGTATTTTTTTATGTAATTTACTTCAGCTTTTCTGCCCATTTACCCTCACAATGACCAAAATCTATAAAACTGCAGGCTCATGAAAGTGAATTCACTTCCCATCAGAAGTGGACTGACTTAATCTAGATGTTTAGCATGCTAAAAGTTAAATCCAATTGTGAATGATACAAATTCTTATTTGGAATCTCCTCAAACTTTGGCTATTATTAAAGCTCCTGAGTTTCTGTTATAGACTCTGCCAGATGGCCAAGAAATCAAATTGCCTCCTGTTCTGCTTGGAAGACTTGGAAATGATACAAAAAAGAAGACCATTTGCATCTATGGTCACCTGGATGTCCAACCAGCTGACAAGGTGAGAGATGCTTTCTTTGATTTCACTTTTAATGAAGCTTCCTATAAAGATGAAATGCAGGTTGAATTTCAATGTAATTTCAGGATGATGGATGGGACACAGAGCCTTTTGTGCTCACTGAAAAGAATGGGAAACTATATGGACGGGGTGCCACTGATGATAAGGGCCCCATACTTGGTTGGATTCATGCCATTGAAGCTTACAAGGAGACCAACCAGGAACTCCCTGTCAATTTGAAGGTCAGAGACTTCTTTAGAAACTCACATGGGCCCATATTAAAGCTATGTATTATCTGCCATTAGAGGCTTATTAGTTTGCAGATACTTTTACAAATTTTAATTTGCATTCTAAAGAGCCATAATATCCAGTGGTAATCAGATGGGATTCAGTTAAGAGTGGGGCTGTACCAATATAGTGACAAACACTGATATTGGCTGTTAGTAGGGCACCATTGATGCCATAGACCATTGCCAGGTTTGCAAGGTGCTAGTGCTGATGCCCAAAGAATGTACAAAATGAATGGAAAAAAAAAAACAAACATGAAAAGGACTCACTAAATTATTCTCAATAACAATAAGAAATAGTAGGGCTGTCACAATGCATTGATCAATTTATTGATAACATTATCGATAGTTGGAGGCATCAATTGCTTCATTACCCAATGAAATGGTCTCCCACACCCTGATTGAGTCAAGAAATTATGGGAGTGAAACCTCTGCCCAATTGTGATGAGAGAAGAATGAATATGTTGGGCAAACCCCTTCCCCCACAAGCATTGATGCACCATCAAATAGTTCATGTTGATAAATGAATTTTTTTTTTTTAAGCAGAATGTGGCTTCTTACTTGGCCCATTTAAATAAGTATTTCATGTCACTTCTATGCTCTTTATGTACAAGTTACAATCTGCATTGACACTGGCAGATGGGTTGGAGATAAGGATTGACTGTCAACCAAATGTGCCCATGAGTGCAGCCCTTGTTAACCTCACCTTCAATTACTTGTGCTATCAGGACAGGTCATTATTTTCCATCATGATAGTGAAGAAAGCTTAATTTTCCCTGATATATTTTCAAACTCACAGTTAAAGCAGGATGTATGTATGTTTAAGAAAGCCATAATAGGGATAATGAATCATGAGACATGCAGACCATTAATGAGGTTTTCATGTGTTGCCTGTTCAGAAAGATTGTATTGAAATCTGGATTGAATTGCATGTCTGTTCACTAAATGAATCAAGTACTTATTGAAAATATACATGTGGTATTCACTAGTTTTGCTTTGAGGGGATGGAGGAGAGTGGGAGTGAAGGCCTGGAGGAACTTCTGAAATCCAGGAAAGACACGTTCTTCAAGGATGTGGATTATGTGTGTATATCTGATAACTACTGGCTGGGGACAGAGAAACCATGTCTCACACATGGCCTTCGTGGTGTCTGCTACTTCTCTATTGAGATACAGTGTTCTGCAGCTGATCTCCATAGTGGAATCTTTGGAGGAGCTGTGTATGTATTTCCATATTCCCTGTCTTTTTTTCACAGGAAAATCATGATTAGAGGTTAATATTCATTTTAAAAATTATGTTTATATTGGACAGTATTTGTCTCTGAAGTGATTTAGGGTGAAATTGAATATTAGCATGACCTCATTTTTTGTGATTGTGGTCCCTCTGGTTTAGTTTCCTCTCATCCTTTTCTAGACATTCTCTTGGTATAGATGGTCAGAACTCTCGTAACTTATAAGAATAAGCAACTGTAGTTTTCCCACTCAATCTTTGTTCTCTGTATAATATGTATAAGTTAGTGGGTCTGATGGAGAAGAGGATGTCTACAGCCCTCTCATTTTTGGAAGGCTCAATGCTGATGAATCTGAATTGTAATGGGTATTTTGCAATCATGGAAAGAAGTAACTGAAAATGTGATTGACAAGTTCAGAATTCTCAGACAAATGAAAACCTCTCCTCAATAGGTCTCCAAATGAGTGATCAAAACATAAACTTTTGCAACCTGGATTTTCATGCTTTTTCAAAGGAAGGTTAGTAAAAAGGTGTATGTACATTTTTATGTAACTCCTGTCATTCTCTTGACTTCCACTGCCTGCTATAGTGTCATTTTGAGTCAGGATGATCAAAACTTGGCAAAATGTTGCTTAACCCCCTGGAAAAAGAGCAAATGGATAGTCTTTGTGGTCTTGAAAACCACCATAAAAAATTTTAACCCTCATATTCTTTAAAACCAGTCCCCCAGAAGGATCTTAGGAGGCTTTTTTTTCAGCCATTTTTAGTTTCATGGAGACAGGATGATTTCAAATCCCTGCAGCTACATGAAACTAAATGGAGGTGAAAGACTTAGGTGCACCACTGAACCCATAAATATTTTATTTGTCTACTTATGGGTAATCATATAAGACTCTCTGTTTTAGGTTATATGAAGTCATTTTTGGACAAGCTTTGGATGCATTTCATATTGTATTTTGAAATGCAATTATTGCATCATGTTATAGACTATAATATTTTGATAAAGTTTATGTCATATTAATCCAACTTCTATTATGAAGTACTGGATAGAATGAAATGACTGAAAAAGTCAATATCTTCACACTAAGCTTATATAATTATGTTGCTATGATTAGGAGTAGTTGCTCAGACAAAATATCTCCAATGCAGAGTGTATTCTCACAAGTACTTCTATTACCCTTGGATCACTATTATTATGTAGGCCTATTACTTTCAAGAACAAATACTGACTGGACAGAACATTGCTGTTTTGAAAAGTTTTGATAATTCATTGGTGTCTGCCACTGACAGGTATGAGGCAATGAATGACCTGATCTATATGATGCATGGCCTTGTGGATTTGGATGGAAAGATTCAAATCCCTGGCATCTATGACTCTGTTGCTCCTGTCACTTCTACTGAAGATGCCCTTTATGAAGCCATCCATTTTCCTGTGGACTCCTTCCGTGGGGATGTTGGAACCAAGAAACTTCAGCATAAGGAGGATAAGGTGAGGGGTCATCTGTTAATGAATCATTTGAGTATGTGTACTTGATGAGTTTAATATGTGAGCCAGGTACTGATGAATCAATCATCATTCAGGAACTTATCAATAATAGAATATCAATATCATTGATTAGTTAATTCGAGTGGAAAACGGAATGAACCTTTTTTGCTCTGATAGTTTAATGAAAGCAAAATGTTTCTTGTCTAATAATTTTATCTCAAAATGATTACATTCAGTGCATCACAGGTGTACAACAAGTGTACCAGTTGCAACATCAGGAATCAATCTATTATATTAACTCTTATTGACCTGAAAATTTTTTGTGACAACAAGGATGAGTTATTTCTTGGTCCTTCTGCCAGAGTAAGACATCTTTATGTTCTTCCTAGCAGTTGCATCTCTAAATACAATCAACAATTAAGTTTCCAGCAAAGCCAACCCATTTTTATGGAAAACAAAATGTCCCTTACTATTTTTTTTTATGAATGTGGTATGCTGTGACCATATGGTTGCATTGAGTTAAAAAGGCTAATGTTAGAAAAAGATTCATAGCCACCTATACAGTGTATGGCACAATAAATAGACCTCTGACTTTTATTCTATTTATCTCTGCTCCTTTGAAACTATTTTTATGAAACCTGTACTATGTTGTGTATTTCCAACAAACTCTCTAAATTTCACCTAAACTTGTTCCACCAAAGTATGGCTCTGAGCAATTGTTCAATCCCAATACTATAGTCCCTTTGGCACTACTAGATTCCAAAGTAAATCAAGAAAATCAAAATAGATTCCTCCTTCTCCAAAGTAAATCGAGAACATCTGGAGACACTTTGAGCTGAGTCTTGTGATTGATATGCATTGATTTTTTGTTATTGATTGGAAAAAGGAGCAGATCAAAACCACCTGTAGGGATAGGCCAACCTAAATGCATTTCCATAGAAGAGATGTTCAACTTGGTTTGCATGATGTGCAGTCACAGCACAAAGGCAGTTCCTACTCTTGGCAACCAGCCCTGTTCATTTTCAATATCAAACTTCCTTTCTAAGTGTTGTTTTGCCTTAGCTCAATAAATTTAAATAAAATTTCTAAAGTTTTATGAGGACATATCAGCCAATGATATACTGTAGTGTGTACATTTTTTTAAAGCAGCTTTAATGAGAGCAAATATTATTTCTTTCATCTTACCCTGTGCATTATGGCCAAACCCTGCTGTACAAGTATAAGAGTACTAAGTACTTACTGGTCATTCATTGCTTGTCCATGCTGATTAAATTCTTGTGTATCTTATTGGTGTCATTTGAGAATGCTGGTAGAGTACTAAGAATCATTTTTAGGATGCTACTGAAATTGATCAAGGACAAAATATGACTGTTTTTTTTATCCCCCTCTAATGCCTGTCAGGCAGAGCTCTTGAAGCACAGGTGGCGTTTCCCATCCTTGTCCCTGCATGGGATTGAAGGGGCATTCTCTGCCTCTGGCTGCAAGACAGTCATCCCTTCTAAGGTCATTGGGAAGTTTTCCATCCGCATTGTGCCAAACCATACCATCCAGGAAGTTGAGAAATGTGTCCTGGAACACCTTCAGCAGAAATGGGACCAGAGGGGCAGTCCCAATCGTATGAAGGTCTGGCCTTTTTCATGTTTTCTCACTTCTCTGGCAAGGACACCCAGTATTTTTCAAGTTGATGTTGACGTTCTTGGGGTCTGATATTGGCAATTTATGATAGAAGTGACCTCAAAAAAGTAGCAAATTTGCATGGCTGCAGATGGTTTCATTAAAATTTGAATGATATTGATCATTGGAAACACAAGTATGGACTTCTTCACCATGCCTTGTAAAAGGAGCAAGTGTGTCAATACCATGCTATTTCCTTTGCACATGATCACATTTGCCTTGCTCCAACTCTGTGAGAGCACACAGACACACTTATTCATTTGACATCCCTGACAAATCAGCTGTTTCTTAAGTTCAAAGAGACCAATTTGATTGAATTTTCATGAAACATGCAGATATTATATATGAGACCCTTTAAATTTCCTGCTGATATCTCATTTGGTGTTACCTTTACAGCCATGCAAAATTTGGAACTTAAATTTGGGTCATTGTAATAGCTGAACTGTGGATGTGTTGGATATGGGCAGTTCCAGAGTAATTGAGGCAAAAGTGGATGAAAGGTAAAAAAAAAACTATTTTACAAAATGTAGTGTACAAAACTGTCATCCAACTTACATTTCCTGGACTGTATGGGTACTAAACTCGAACCCATATCACTCCAAAACTCCAGTTGAATCACTTATCAGTGTTTCTGAGCATTGAAAATTAGAATTCATGAAATTTTCATTTACTAAAAAAAAAAAGAATCAAACAGTAGCACCAATATTCTGAATAGAGAATGAGATGAAGTGTTCAGGCAGTCAGGTATGGTTGACATGTGGTCATTAATCCATCAATCTAGACTTTTGGCAATTGATTTTCTCCAGATTATTAAGTATTTCACTGAATGACTACTAATTTTTCTTCCATTTTAGGAAAGGTTTTTTCAGTACTCTAGCTTTTTCAAAGTTCTAGTTTAAGACTTATTGCATGATGAATTCCTGTCTCTGTCATTTTAAACTACATTCCCTCTAGTAGGATAATATAACCTGAATCACCTGATTTGGTTTGATAATAAAATTACATAGATTAGTTTGATTTTTAATTAGTTAACTAAATTTTCTGGCTTTGTAAAGTCAGAAACTGAGATACTGAGATTTTGGCAATTATGTGCTCTTTTTTGTTTGGCTGCAGTTTTGCATTTGATGTTCTGAACTGAGCAGCAAATATCTAAGACTGTCTTTCACAATGTGAAGATTAGAAGTATAATATTAACATGGAGACTCAAAGCTCTTTTCATTTTAACTCTTTTACTGCAGATGTAGACTTTTTTCACTGTGTTTAGGGTTTGGAGGTTAGGGTTTTTTTAATTATGCAGTGAAAGAGTTAAGGGAGGTCTTTGACCCTTTTTTTTTATGTGTGCCTGAAAATTTTTTAGGAAAGCTGGATTTGAAAACATGCCTGCACCAGGGGTCTGGGAAAGTATTAACTGGTCATCCATATTATTAATTCATTGAAATTCAGCAATTGTGTGGTTTTTCTTGCAAGCCCAATCAAATGATTTAGGCAGAGACCCTGCACCACATGTCAACTGAAAAAATAAAAGCAATAAAATATATATTATTTTGCTTTCTTAGAAGTGACTCCCCATGCAATTTCCTGAGTCATATTGATCTACTTGGGCAAAGAGAAATTTTGAGAGCAGGTGTGGAAAAATGATGTCAATTCCCTGTTTAGGCATACATGAACCATGGTGGAATCCACTGGCTCTCAGATCCACATCATCCCCATTATGAGGCTGGGAAAAGAGCCACCAAGACTGTGTATGGTGTGGAACCAGACATTACAAGGGAAGGTGGATCCATTCCTATCACCATCACCCTACAGGTAAGCCTCAATGAGCATATTTGTGTTTCCTGAGATCATGCCAACATGATTAGATGGATCAAAATGCCAAATTTTGGTTACATGTGATGAAAAGGAAAACTTGCACAATATCACCGATGCCATTATTTCTGGGGTCATCTGATGCAAAATATCTGAATCAGGTTTCACTTAATTCTTTTCTCTGGCCAATGTTTTAATTTCAGGACCAAACTTGAGCAACTACAATTGTTTGGACTCCAATAACTAGAAAATGTTGTGTTTTATTATGGCTTTTTATTATTAAGTCAAAACCATTGTAGTTGCTTAAGTTTGGTCCTGAAATTGGCCAGAGAAAAGAATTAAGTGAAACCTGATTCAGATATTTTGTCTTATGTTTGATCATATACAGTACTTGTACAAAACATTATATCATAGAGAACAATGTATTTGAGGTTGACCTTGTCTTGTCTTGTGAATTTTAGAGTTGGAGATTTTACATATGCCATATGAAGCCAATGTTGTTCTTGTTGGCTGGCCTATATATTTACATTCATTGAGTGCAATATCTGAGGTAATTTGACAAATATTCTTCCTGAGCAGGAGTTGAGTGGCAAAAATGTGCTTCTCCTCCCTATGGGCTGTGGGAATGATGGAGCTCATTCTCAAAATGAGAAGATAGATATTCGAAACTACATTGAAGGGGTAAGCAGAATATCCTTACTCATCTTTCTATGAATTTAAAATCATAAACATTCAGTAATGCCCTCTAAAATGTGAGATGATTCATATCATTACTTGAGATCTTTGGATGTTTTGCAACTAAGCCTATTCCAGTACTAAAATGAACTTGTGAACAATTTGAATTTATTGTTTTAAACTTCAATTACTGTTTTTGCACCTCTGATGTGTTATTTAAGTTCACCATGTGTTCATCTGCCATGCGATGGAAGGGCTTGTTCAAAAAAATTAAATTAACCAAAATCAACTGGATCTAAACTGACTAAAGCCTTGTGGGAAGGGACTACTGAAGACTGCAACATGCAGACGTAACTCGAAAGTGAAATACGGAGTATCTTCAAGGTAAAAGTCTTGTTTTTTTTCGATTTTAAATTTGTTATTTGTGTTTTTACTAAACTTCCAAGGAATAATAAAAATAAACCCTCGAACCACACCAGGAATCGCCCTTGAATTAAGTTTGATGACTGAGTGGTTATGGCTTACAACTTGAATTGCTGAAGGAAGTCTTGATGTTGGCTAGGTCATACCACTGACAGACAACCCACCTTCTTTCCATAGCATATTTTCATAGCATTGGGGAAACTTTAGTGGTGTTTTATGAGCCCCCATTTAGATGATGTAGGTGCAGTACGCTGAAATTTTTCTTGTGCCAATCATGATCTCTGGCAATCTGTTAGCAGTCCTATCTCAGTTGTCTTTTGTGTGGGCTTGTTTGCTTTTATCACTCCACTTTCCCTATAACATTTGCAAATGGATGAGTGGAATGCTTAGAATATTAAAAGATTTTTTAGTTTATTAAAAATTTCATTAATTTACTGTGCATAATTGTGGACCCATATAACCACCTGAATTCTGAAAGTCTTAGTCATTATTGTCGTCAAAAGACATGTACAGGCATGTACATGAGCAATGGATGAAGTTTTCTTTTCTTCATTCATCCCCAACCTTGATTCACAGTCTCTCAAGAACTTGACCATGAGATTGAGAAATGGTATGGGCTCTGTAGGTGTGCTCTTTTTCTTCTTCTGGATGGGTCAGGTAGGCCAGGCAATAACAATAAAGAAGAAAATGCATAAATAAGTAATTACCTGAACTGTCTGACCTATTCAAGAGAAGGAAAAAAAAATGAGTCCAGAGCCAAGAACTTTTCCCAGGTCTTATGGTTAATCAAGTGCTTAAACTACCTCAGTTGTATATGAGCTCCCTTTGTGTCTCTGGAGGGTTAAAGACAAAGTCAGCTCAATGAAGGTAATACCTGGTTCAAACTTATACCAATCCAGTACTTTTGCAAAGTTAGTGCTCCAGCTAATTTCTGGCCTATTCAAGTTTTTCTTTCCCCTTGCAATGTGAGTATTCCCTTTTATTTCATGCCATATTTTATGAACAGTCCTCCATTGTATGTTGACAAGAGTTTGGACTGTATCAATGTGTAGACAGTTCCAAGTCCCAAATAACTTGAAATATATTTTTAGATGGGAGGTGAACATGCAATATTAAGACTGTCATCTTCTATTGCAGACGAAGCTCTTTGCAGCCTACTTGCATGAGGTGTCTCAGATTTGAGCTGCTGCATTATGATGTGGGGAACCCAGGTGCTCATAATGCTCCTCACAATTTGGTGTGATGCTTCAAACTCTGGCAATTTGTTCTGTCTTCTCACTATATTGTTGATTCTTCATTGTCTCCAATTTTTCATGAATGTTTACTGGGTTTACTTTTACAATAAATGAATTTACTCCTCTATTCCTCTCTGTGGTTTTCAAGAGTTTGACATCTTGGTGTACAATTTGATTTTCAAAGCTGCCTGTTTCTCTTATATGCTCCAGCTCAAGCTTTATGACTAGCAAGTTTTGATTCAACTGCAGACATTTTAGGCCTTACTTTTCCTTTTAGATGAAATAGTCCACCAGGATTGCCTCTGGCATTCTAAATTGTAAAGTGGTATGACAATATTGTAGGTTCAGTTCCTCTCCCTTCCTCAGTCTGTATTGCCGATTCCACTGCATCCCTTACCCTTTTTCCTCAAATTACCCTGAATGAATAATATTGCTATCTTGTTTCAGAGTTTATATTAAACTTTTAATGTAATCTAGTTAGAGTATCTATGACTTGTGGTTACATCATTCAAGGCAGACTAGTAAAAAGAAAAGAAGAAGAAAAAGTAGAAGAAAAAAAAATTTTAACCAATGAAGGAAATTTTTGCAACATTGTTCCCCCTGTGGTAGGAAGTTATGAATTAAGAACTACTAAACATTGCCTAATTGCCAGTCCATGCAAAAGTGGGGTGAAACTCTTAATTTCATCCTGAAAGCATGTAAGATAATAAGCAGACTGTTCAATTCTCATGAATTTCATGCTTTTCAAATGGATACTCCAAGAACCCAATGCAGACAGAATAGGATGTGATCTCAATATCAAAAACCTTGACTAGACCTTAGGTCTAATTAAGATAAAAGTAATCCAAGATAGACAGGAGCTGGAAACAATAAAGAAACTCCTGTGGTTGCATGCAGATGCAAAAGATACAGGCTAGAATTGCTTGTGCTGACTTTTGTTTAAAGAAAAGGTTATTCTGAAACATAATTGTGAATTTTTAAATTAGCTCATTGACCATACAATTGAACAGGCTTGCTAATGAACCAAAGCAATAGACCATGACAACTCTCCTGCTCCTTTTTCAGATGATTTCAGTTCTGAATCCAATAAAAAAAATAATACAGAAAAGCTCAAGGACAAGGTGAGATACAAGGTACCTTCAAAAAGTTTCCAGACTCAGCCTATATGTTGTGACAGGTAGCATGACGCATGCGGAGGCATGTTGAGACATTCCTGCCACTCACTCACAGACACCAGCACTGTTCAGTTCCCGTTTGCCTAGATGTGAAGGTCGCGGTAGTAGAGCACAGTGTGTTACCACTTCAAAGTGTGAAAATGGATCGTTTAGAGCAATGGGCCAACATCAAATTTTGCCAGCACTAGGGAAAATTGGCTACGGAAACCCTGCAATGCTTTGGACAGTATATGGCAAAAACTGGGTGCTACACCATGACAATGCTCCTGCACATCGGTCGCTTCTTGTGCAGCAACAGCTCACCAAACATGGAACTGTGGTGCTTCCTCACCCTCCATACTCGCCTGATCTCACACCTTGTGATTTTTACCTCTTCCCATGCATGAAAAACCGATTGAAGGGCTGCCACTTCAAAGATGCAGAGGAGATTAAGGCGACTTCAGACAGCATTGAAGGAGGTGGCACGTGGAGGCTTCCAGAAATGTTTCGAGGAACTGAATCAATGCGGCAGAAGTGTGTCGTTGCCCAAGGGCAGTATTTTGAAGGAAATTATGTATAATTGTTCCTAAGTGTCTGTGAAATGGTGAAATAAAATCAGTCTAGAAACTTTTTGAAGTTACCTTGTACATCATTTTAACTCCCAGTGCATAAGTAAGCCTGCCTGAACTACTTCTGAATGAATGAACCTGCTTCTAGCCTGACTTTGGTTCGATTGCCAATGTGGCTGTTTGATGCCACACCTCACTGTTAGCAGCTTTGAGCAAGGTTGCCCAAAGGCTTGCTACTCCTCAGATGTTATCTATCTAGGGCTTCTTGTATACAACTTCTGCAAGGGCTCCCAGTCCAACATACAGTGTACATGACCATACCACTGCAGTTGACAATCCTCCATTTGCTTACTGGTGACACCATTGTTTCTCTGGTGTGTTTCTTTGAAAATGCAATTGTGTGATGCAGACTATTTTCTGCCAGCATATCATCTCAGAAATGTCTCATTTTTACTTTTTGTGAGTCTTCAATGTCCATGTCTCACTACTATACAGGACAATAGGCAGTACAAGACATTTATACTCTCAATTTGAATTTGACCCCGATTTCCTTTGACTTTGCCTGCTGTTAATCAACTTCTGGAAGACATACTAGCAATGAATAGGGTACTACCAAATTACAGGAATACAGCTATATGGTTTCTTCTTTTCACTTCAAGAATATGGTTACAATCATATTTTTGCGAATGAACACAAGGAATGTTTTGCCAATGCATTATTAAATAAAGCTGCTGTGATTTGTGCAATTGGTTGTTAGTAAATTCACATGTTCCTTGTTAAAGAAGGCTCTGATTTACTGAATGCATCATACCAACAATGTGGACAGAGTAAGACAGGAGATGATAAGAAAACATGCTTGCGTGCCTCAACATGTAGCACCTGAGTTTGAATACAGAAATATTAATCTCCAAAAAGAGAACTCTTTCTTCATCCCACCTTCCTCTCAGGAAAAAACTAACCCAGTGCATGTGCACACTTGATCTCAGCTTGTACAGCTATTCCTAAATGGAAGTCAGATGATATCAAGCTCCACCTCTTAGGGTTGCAGTCAAGACTGCCAGGTTTTCTACCTAAAAGTTCTAAAACTGTCAATTACACAAATAATCAGTGATTCTTGAGTCATTTATGACAGTGAAGAGCATTTGGCCACCAGAAACAACTTCATTCATTAATTGGTCCTTGGTAACATTGCTATTAAGATCAAATGGGTGTTGGAACAAAATTCAACATAGGAGTTGTGTGGTGGGTCAAGAAGAGATGAACTCATCAGCTAACATTTCCTGATATCACAGTTGTGTATTTGGTGGAAAGGTGAAGTCAGTCCTATCCCATAGCTGCAGCCATGTGGGCAACCTGGCTCCTCACAATGCTGTCCATGATGTGGAAGACATCTTCGCAGCCCTTCAGGGCAGCATCCATGACTTTGTCTAGGTAATCCAGGTGAAGTCTCCCACTCATCTCTGAGAGGACAATCTGCTTGGATCTTGGGAGACAGGCAAATGTGACCATTGATCCAACCACAATCTCTTCCAAGTGACTCAAGTCCAGGAATGGGAAGTCATCAACCATGGCAGCACTGCATGCACAAACATAGTCTTTCATGGGGACGCCAGCATCAATAAGGGCCAAGGTGGCTGCATTTATGGCTGCTGATGCCACACCACCATCTGCCTGCAAAACCTGAAATGTAACCATATTAATTGACGAGTCTCTCCAAAATTGTACAGATTTATATCATGGCACAATAAGAAGAGGGCATTGTGTTTTTGTATGATACATAGCCATTGCAGAAAAGTTTTACATCAAAGGTATGGAAGAGAGACTAGGAATTGATGATACTCAGAACCTTGAAGTGCAAAGCAATACTGACACTTCAATAGTGATGAAGATTTTGTAACATGAAAATTGTTCTTCCAAATCCATGCATATCTCATGACACTGTTTCTTTTTGTAGTGTGGCAAAAAACTACCAAGAAAACTCCTCTTGAGTTCCATTCTAAGCTAAACATCATGACAAAGGTATATACAAGTACTAATTCATGCTATGGAAAAAAAAAAACCAAACAGATTCATGTCAATTATGGTAGCAGTGTCATTGGTTATGACTACAGTCAAACTCTGGGGAGTTTGACTTAACATGGCAAAAGGTAAGAAACTGGAGAAAAAGGACCAGTGCAGTGTGGAGTCCTGACTGGAGAAAGTGAAACATTTTTCAGATGTGAAAATATTTCACAAATTTCACATTTCACAAATATCAGAAGATATTTGTGAAATAGTGAAAGTGAGTTTAAAAAGTCATCCCAAAGGGAATTTGGAAAGTAGTGGAAGGCTAACTGGAGAGGAAAGGTTGATTGTAGGTGGAGAGAGTAAGAAAAGCAATTTTCAGCATAGAAACTGAAAATAAAAGAGAAGAAAGGGCAATGTGAATCAAGAGGTTTAAAGGTGTTCATAGAAAGCTCTTCATGGAAAGGACTTTTTTTTTTGGGAAGGACACACTGAGATCAAATGGTACAGAAAGTACCATTTGATACATATGAAGACTGTTCTGCCAGTGACTGAGCTCCCAAGTGGACCTCATCTTTTTCCTTGTTCAATTCAAATTGATAAACCACTCATGAGCAATGGTACTAAACTCCAAAGTGGACCTAGTGGTTTTTCTTTCAATTTGTGTAGCTAAAACCACCCGTGAACTATTGCATTTTCTAAGAGAAGCAAATAAAGTTCTAAGTATTTCTTTGATTTCTGGGTTTGGTTCCTTTTTACCCACCTGGGTGGGCAAAAGGAACAGTTTGCATGCCTCGCTTTCTCCTGATAACTCTGTCTTGAATGCTATGATGGAATCCTGTCTGGTCATGGCTATAGAGGGAGAGTTGCTCTATAGCCTGAAACAGAAATATTTGTTCTCTGTTGTTATACTGAGCAGATATGATTGTTGGCACTTAAGCTGTTCCCCTTTCCTGCCCTTACCCTAATGCAAGAACAGGTCACTGCCTGGTAAAAGAGACATGGAAATGTAGGTCAATTTCAGCTATTGAAGTAATCGAATATGATAAGAAGGAATTTAAATGTTGTTGATTATGAGTATGAATAAAGTGGCTAAAATAAAAATTGATAGCCACTTTCTTCATAATCATAATAAACAATAAAAAAATTTATTCACATAAAAAAATTCTGATTATGAATACTATTAGCAATAACTTCAGGAAGCATCATTGATGACAACACCATTATGATTACAATCATAACCTACCCATCTCTGCACTATACAAATACATACCTCCACAAAAATATCAATTTGAGACCGAGGAAAGAGCTCAACACGAATGGCAGCTTCATAAGTCTGTTGAAGCATGCTGTTCAGTTCCATAGTCTTGCGATCTCCTCGAGGACGATTTCGCCTTTCTGATGTGCAAAAGACAGCCATGCTGAACTGGCAGTTTATAAGAGCTCGATCGTGCAAGACTTTGGATTTTCCACCTCGAATCTACAAAAAGGAAGGGGAGATGCAGCATATTAGTGGCATATGCATGTTGTGAGTCACAATACATCAGATGCAAGACTTATTACATAACCTAATTTTTGGCAGTTGCATATTTTATGGGGGGGGGGGGCTGATGTCCCTGGTTCAGAGCTTGACACCCCCTTCCCTTGGAGATAATAATTTTCTCTCCTGATTTCACTTGAGGGTGAAGATGATGGTGAAAACACTTTTTAAAATATATATTTCTTAAAACAGTACACAATTGTTCTGTTGAAGTCAACCACATAGTCTACCATTAGTCAGTTATGAACTGTACATCAGTCATATTGAAAATGGAACTCCAGGGATGCCCAACCAAACATAGACTTCTGTTCTTGCACTTGCTTATGTGAATCCAATCTCCAAGCAGGGTGGAGATGGGGATTCCAGGATTGCTCCCCAATGAGGTGCAGAGGTAGCTCAATGGTCTGCACATGAGTCAGAGTTCAGTTCCATGCAGTTATTGAAAAAACTCAATGTAAAAAGTTATTTACATGATTCTTCTATTGTTTCCCTGAAAGTCCAGCAGGGCATTAGAGAAATATGAAAACATTTTTTCTTGCAGATCATGATAGATGAGGTTGATGTTAAAGACATACATGTAGGAAATTGAATAAATGACCCTGAATACTATGAAAAAAAAAGGAATTTGGGAAACAAATTACTTTAAGTTAGATACCAGTATTTTGGAAACTGAAATTCACCTCTTGAGGACCGTAGACAGTAGCCAGAATCTTCGTCTTCCCCTGCTCAATGTAGGCACTTCCATCAGCTTGCTTGAATGCTCCAACTTTGCATGAAATTTTCCTGAGTTGGGATGGATCACGACCATCAGCACGAAGGCCAGTATCAAAGAAAGCTTCTGTTCGAGCCATGATTGACACAAACTTTTCCCAATCGCCACCTCAGATCTTTTCCATGTCTGCAATGCAAGCCATGCACTGTCATGAGTTGGTAAATTCAAAATCCATAGGCTAATGTTACATTCATTCATCTCAGGTAGGTATGGTGGGTATGAATTGTAGGTGAGGTATGAATATAATTGAGGAAATCAGCATTTACAGCAAAGAAATCTGTCAGCAGCAAAACTTATATGGGCAATAAATGGCCCCAGAACTTCATTATACTTAACTCTGGAACTACCCTTCTGGGTCCAATGGACCCTGATACAAAAATTAAGCCATTTGTTTTGGCTGTGCCGTAAACTAGTAAATTATGTATTTTCATGAAGACATGTCTTGTCGTAGCCAGGATTTCGCTAAAGGGAACAGAGGGGGGGGCTACAACTTGCCATGAGGCGGCGAGTGGATGAGATCAAGAATTAATACGTTTGAAGCGAGAACACCAATTACGTTTTAAATGTACCGGCACTAGAATGAGTACAAGCAATTCCAAAAAAGAAAAAGGAAACCTGCCATGGACCTTCACCCGTTGTCATACCCTAGCTATCAGTCACACCGAAAGAAACCGTAGGCCTAACATGAGAGACTAAACCTAGGCTTTCAAAAAGTAAAAATTTGGACTAGCCCAGGCCTTAGTAGCCGTCACTATCACGGTGATTCGCGATAAGTTCATGCGCTGTAACGGAAACCATGGTGTTCTGAGACGCCGACTCGGACACCACGTTGTTATCATCTCTCCGTTGTACGGTAGATGTCGGTTGCGACCTGTGGAGTCCGTGGTGCTTCGGCTCTGGTTAGGCAACAGGTCGATTTTGCCCAGTGTAGGAGGTTGATAGTCGGGCGTCTTTGTGCGAAACGAGGACGCGAATACAAAGCATTTTCCCAAGGAATGGGACGAATCTCTTGGCTTATGCGGTCTTTCGATTCTGGGAATGTGTTCGGCACAATAACGTTGTCAATGTTGACCGTCAGTTGAAATATGGTTGAAGTTGACTGAACAGCGAAGAATCAACAGCAACGAAATTCCTAATAAGGAAGTAGAATTAGGAAACGTTAAATGGACGATGGACTCGATCTGCTGTAGAAGTCCAACGAACCGATCGACCGATTGGAGACGTCCAACGACGCTTTACGCACGCTACAGGGGATGTTCATATCATTTTATCTGCTGCCCATCGCTTGCCGTTGGATACTTCCGTATGTTTGCGGAAATTATTGGAAGGCCCTGCGCCTTTAACCGTGGGAGTTTCGCTCTCTTGACATAGACGCAATCGAGCTATGCTCTGTCGACCTTTGGTCGATTTTGGTTTCTACCTTTTCGCGATTGACGCATATGCGAGTCTGTTTGATCCTGAACAGATTTTCGTTTTTTAATTTTTTTCCAGGCCCCTTGTACGACGTTGACGTTACCGCCGATCTATTTCCAGACGATCATGACTTGACCGATTTCGTATTAATCGTTTAGAGTCGACTTATCGCTGACTAACCATTTGGTCATCGTCACCAGAGACAACGACACGTACTTCGTCAGCGTCAGACTGCCGAGGGCGACTCCCTTTGGACTTCGACCGAAAGTCGACTCCGGCTATCGAGACGAAGCCTCGCATGCCTTCGACAATCGATGAAGGAAATAGGCCACATCCGAAAGCAGAGCATGACGAGCGTTAGAAATAGCGAACTATCGACAGATAGGCTGCCTACTTTTAGAAGTCGCTTCGCGGAAGTCGAGAAGCTCTTGCAGACCATGATGAACCTTCGCGATGAGCATGTTTCCGAGTCCCACTGGTATAATAATAATAATATATACCTATGTATTGCGTTTACGAAGGCAGGTATTTCGATTCCTTCGGCTTGAGTCAGGTATTGCAGTTATTGGAGCGCTTAATATTTATGTCTATCCGGTCCAACCTTGCCACACTTTTAATCCTGAAAGTAGTCGTTAACTGCCATCCATCTTCTCCCCTGAGGGGAGAGGGTGATTTCCCTTTGACCCCTCCGCCAGACACTGGCGCGACGCTCCTTGGAAGGGGGGGGGGGGCATCACATATTAATGATTTTATAAATCTTGATAAGATGCCTGACGAGTGCCAGGAACACCTAGGTCCGCCACTGATAGCCTCGAGGCCCTTTCCGACGTTTTGACAGGCTGATGACACCACACGATTAATGATCTACCATAAAACAGGCAATGCCGGCGTTGCAAAGTTGGACTGGATAGACTATACCGTGACGATCGTGTAGATTGCAAGGAGAATCCGGTCTGTGCGGTTTGAACTGCGTGGCGGTAGTAATCCAATCTGTGAACAGATCGAGAAACGAAAACGAGACCCGAAAGGGCGAAGGTACGACTATGCTTATTCGATCGTCGAGCAGCTGAACACCTCTAGTAACGATTCCGTCATTTTTTTTAATCTTTAATGACATTTAAATAAATGACGTCAATTTGCTGCTTGAAGGGTAAGACGAACGCGTCGATGCTAAATTTCCTACGAAAGATCAGAAACGATATCGAATGCATCGGGAACGTGCGCGAGATGCAGGAGTAAGAAGTTCGTGCCAGGAAAAGGTTTCTTCAACGACGAGATCTTTCCCGATCTCGGTCACATTCCGTGGCCGAACCACAAATGCAGCGGACCGAACGACATTCTAAAGCGGCAGGTGCACGAGAACGCGAAGCCTCACGATCGAGCCGACGAAGTATCGCGAGTTCGCAATTTCGGATACCGTCCCCGCAAAGATCCACCGAGTCGCCACAGCCTCGACGAAAACCACAAAAAAAAGGAACCGAGACCGAGAACCGAACGCGATCCCCGAGGGAAGTTCGAAGAAAGCCTCGAGAAGACGAATGAGACGATGCGAGAAGGGATGTCCTCACTCGACTGCCCCATGAGACCCAAGGGACTCGTCATCGGCACCCGCCTCGATCTCTTCGCTGATGGAAGTCGTCCGTCGCGTCCAGTTTTTTTTTTTTTTTTTCCATCTCGTTCCGTGTTTCTAAATTCCGTGTCGAGAGGCCTAAATTCCGATAGAAACCTCGAAATCGATGCGATTTGGACGTCTTTGGAACATCCTTGGGACGTCCTTGCATCGAGCGATGTACGCAATAGGATTCCGAGCGACGATATTCGAGGCGATCACGTGATACGAATATTTTGATTTCTTTTCTGTTCGCGCAACTGATCTGAGCTCGGGATCGCATTTCTGGAATCTGGACCAGATCCGAATCCAGATCTTCCCCTCGTCTAAAGGATCTCCATAGGTCGCATTCCACATCCAACAACAGTCGACAACGAGTCGACGGGCGTCTCCGACTTCGTAACGAACGGGATCGTCGCTTTCTCCGTCTAACTCGCCGATCGGGTCGCCGACTTGCAGCGATCGACTACATTTACCGCATCTTTTACCGTTCGTCCGACTCCATTCCGTCCGTGGATCGTCCGAGGAACGCGAAGAATCCGACGAATCGATCGTCATTCAACCCACGCCCAAAACACGAAACTCAAGTTTTCGAAGTCGCAATCGATGGAAGGAATCGAAGCCAATGAGACCGTGGATCTTCCACTCGGTGGAAGTCGCAGAGAGAGACCGAAAAGTTTCGAAAAGAAAGTAACGAAAGAAAGAAGACGAGTCTATGTAAGATTCAGAGTCGAGAAGGAAACTTGTCTAATCTTATAACCCCCCCCCCCCCCAAAAAAAAAAAGCAAACAAGAAAAATCATTGTAAGAGAGAGTAAATAAAGCATTTAAGTTTAAATTAACAAACGGCGCTATTTTCTCATTTATATTCAAATACTTTATTTCCTTTTTTTAAATTAATGATATGAAAATTCCCCTCCTGCGACGATTGGCAACGAGCTGGCACAGCAGAGCAACTGCCCTACAACACTTCGTGGTAAAAAATTTCGGATTGGGAGCATTTAGCTTATTTATCTCTGCCTCGAGACGATGCAGACGGGCCGCGATTGCTCGGAATCCGCGTCTTCGCGATCCATCCGATCGAATGTTCCGGTTTCGTTCGATGCCGACAGACTTTAATGGGCTTCGTGCGGGTTTTATCGCTCCAGAGGCTGAAGCTCCTTCGCCATCGCTTCCCGAAGAGATTTCACTCTCGCAAACGCGAGAGCTGGACGAGGCCGATCGCGAGAATTTCGCAGTAACAACGGCAGAATTCATTCTGGAGTCGAGGGGACCCCAAGGCCGAACGGAAAAAATCACGGAACGTTAATGTCAACGTAAGCAGCTGGCAGCGGATCTCCATGTCATCTTTCCCCGATCGAGGAAAAGCCGATGGGAGAATCGCATCGATCGTCTTTTGCTCGGGAAAGAGGGAAGTGTCTGGGTCTCGAACCAGAAAAACCGCACGGCGAACGAAAATCCTCACAGGAAGATGAATTCCTTCGCCTGGACGATACGTCTCTCGAGGTCAGTCCCCGAAATTTCCCCGCACGATTGCAATATTCATAAAGATAGCAATATTCATAAAGGAGATTGGAATCTTCGCGAGGCGATCCGCTTTCTCTCGTTGGATCCGAAGCGAACGGTGCTGGACGAGCACTGAATGATTTTGAAGCGAACGGTCTCGAGGGACCGATTCTCGTTCCCGATCAAATGCGGCGACTTTCGCTGGCTTTTCTTCCTCCTAAAATGAATCAGTGAAACTGGAAAGTTCTCTCGTTTCATTTGCACCGGATCGGCGCATTCAATCGCTATGGGAGCGTCGAGGAAAATGCCGATAGCCGGTGGACTAATGAAAATGCCGACGAACACGCCCTTTTTCTCTCTTCTACCACCACGTCATCGGCGTCGACTCGGGTCTTCACAACGTCCGAAAAGCCGAATGAGAGACGCTGCGGAATCCAAGTCGCTTAGTGGGAGAAAAAACGGCACGCGGAAGTGACGCGTCGCAATGTGCCATTTGACGCTCCTATATGTCCCGAAACGATTTCTTCACGTAAAACGTCGAGTGTGTCGACTGGCACATTTTCTCGACTTAGACCGAAGATAGAACCCCGGTCTTCCGTAAATCTAA